CTATAAACAGTCCGCCGGGAAAACTAGAGACGTTCAAAATATGTTACAGTAAAAGGTTTTCCGAACACTCAGTGCTTGGCGTAGCATTCGCCAATAAGTAATTTTCTGCTATCACTCTCTTTAAGACCGTTCGCTATGCTATTATTTTAATGCTAAAAAACGGTTTAAACGTTATTACAATTGTTGTTACTGATGTTGGCCTATCAAAAAATGAAAATAAATAATAACAATAAGCCGATGTGATTCATTTAAAATTGAGCAAAGAAATTTGTGCAGATTTTTAGTTGACATATATATTGAAATTCGGAATCCAAGAAATGCAATCTTTACATTTTGGAGCAGTTCTCTACATACAGGAGACTTGTAATTAATTAAAATAAACGGAGAAATCAAACTAACATGTTTGTGCACAACTTCAGATGATTGTACACATGGTTTGTATGCGATCTGAGCTCGTCTGAAATATAATTTATTTTGTGAAAACGAATTATCCTTTCCTAAGAATTATCTCTCTCTAAGTGATTAAAATAGTTTCTGAAAAAATCAACAGATAGTAGGTTGGTTTTGAAATAGTGAGCTAAACTTCAAAGTTATGAAGTGCGGCAGCCAGAAGTTTATTAAATAATAAACAATGATTGTATGAGTATCGTTGTCTTCATTACCTTTTTAGTATTTCACATACTGCGTAATCTAAATTCTTTGAAATTTTTGAAAGTAAGTACCTAATATTACATTGTATTTAACTAACAAAAAATTGATACCTTTACACAAAATTTTGTTAGAATCTTAATTAAACCTTTGTAACAATGTGATTCAATGTATAAATTAAGCTGTAAAGCCTGATGTTATGTGGAACTCGTGCTTATGTATACGTCCATTAACGTCCGTCGTGAGCTGCTTGTTAGGAGGATATCAAATCACTGTGATTCTAATGCGTTCACATAATGTGCTGAACGTAAGAAGACTTGGTGTAAGTGCCAACATTTTTTAGAGCATTTGGATGCTATTTGATAGCCTATTAAAACCGATATAAAATGGGGATACATTTTTCGAATATTTTAGAAATAATCATCTAATTTCTATGAAATTTTGGAAGCGTACGTTACTTCACAATCTGTGCTAAATTGTACTAGAGGCAGTAAAATCGGAAATCTTCAGAACAATGCACTGACACCAACACAAAAAGTCGTCGTTATTGCCGTGTTAACTAAATTTTAGCCCTAAATAAACGTGTGGCAGTGGGAATGCGTTTACGGTTTGTTGAAATGTTTGATATCTTGTTTGTTTTAGTGCAATTGTCTTAAAAAAGAAAGGAAATTATTTCAAATATACGAAGAAGATTGACAATGGGATTGAATTTATTACAACCCTATGCCGATGCCGCAAATTACAAAATAATTATTTTGCAAAATGTCTGTTCCGTGGATTAATATATTATTATTGTGTGGCTCAAATATTGTGCGAAATGGTTAACTTGTTTTCGTGTCTCAAGTGAAGAATGATTCCTTACAAAAAGCTCATTGATACTCGTATTAGTATTAAAAACGGTGCTACTCTGTTATTATTAACACAAATTCATGTCAAACTTGCAAATGTTTTTCATGCATATGACATCCTTAGTTTATTATATGAACGCCTACGATGGAAATGAAGCATGAGTATAATATTATTAAATAACATATAATACCATGACTCGAACAAAAACAAAATATACTGTGCTGCCAAAACTGTAAATGTAACATTTTTTATTATAAAGACGTACTGTTCCAAAAAGTATCACACTAATTGTAAATTACTTGTGTTACGCAGTGCTCAACATCATTAGAAAGCATATTTCGAAGAAGCTACTATGTTGAAAGCACTGTAAAATATTGTTTATATAATAAGGGATCAAGTGTGAAACTGACACTTACCCTTGTGACTTTTATTTATGGAGCCAAAAAGAGCCTTTCTAGACTGAAACTGGCGCTAGAAGGAAAACGATTTTGAAAAGATTTTCAAAGAATGGATTATTCATAGATATAATTATCAGTAGCATAGCAAATAAGGTTATCGTACTCTAGGGTGAACATGGGATGTAATGGTAATTCGATAGGTAAATTAAGTCGGTAATCTCGCTGAATTGTTCTTGTGTTTAATTTAAAATCATCAGTTAGTGTTCTTTAATTAAAAATTGTCGGTTGTGTTGTTGATTGTCGAACTAGTGTTGGTTGTGTTTTTGATTGTCGAACTAGTGTTGGTTGTGTTTCATAGGTGAAGTTCGATGCAGATAACTTTACACACTTTGATTGTTATTATATTATTATAACGTGTGATCAACAAAAAAAGTGCTCTAGTTAGTATTGAATTTTTTATCTTTCTCACTCCCTGTTGTGGGTAACCGACAATGAAAAAGACAAATTGTTCATGGAGAGTTGATGCCTATGTATTTCCTTCTATGCCATTTGTTCTGAAATGAAACATATTCCACACAATTAAATAAATTCTACCAAATTAAATACACACATATAGTTCTAGCAGCTACACCATAACCTAATCAACTAATCCATTAGAGCAATTCAAATTGGAAATTTTGAAACAAAAATAAATCTCTTTTGAACTGACTAATTAAATTTATGTTAAACTTTTTGAAGTGTTTACGAAATAAAGGCATCAAGAGTGATATTTACACTGACCCTCTGCTAACTTTTATCGATATCAGCAAATAAAAAATGACTCTAAATTGATGATTTTTTTTTTGTACTGTCTCTGCTGTAGTGACGTATACGTAAAGTGCCCTGATTAAGAGAGCAAGAGCGTTCCACATTTACGGTAAGGATAATATGTAGTAAACAAGGCAACCTTCATGCAACAAAAACAAGAAAAAAGCTTAGCTAGTACAAACAAAATATTTTAAACGAGATTTACACATTTTATCTACTCTCCCCTTCTTCACGGAATCGGAAGTGTAAAAATTCAAACTTGCATATCTACTGGGTTTTCTGATTGTATTCTAAACCTAGTAAGATACAAGAACTACGACAGGCTTTAAAGTCATGTAAGAAATGAACTGCTACACTAATTCGGAATTTAATTGAATTAGTAGAAGAACGATCGATATGCAATATATAAAATAGTGTATAGACAAGTCAAAAAACCTAAATAATTACAAAATCCAAATTTTTCAAGTAATAAAATTATGTTTATACAAAACTCCTCTGGCCTCTACAATATACATGTCAGGATGTATTTTTAGTAATATACTAACATTTTTTGAGATGATTTCGATATGCAAAATGCAACACAGTATCATTACTACATTTCCACAATTTCAAGGAAATTATAGATGAGCCGTTTCTGAAATAATCAGTAAATTAGGTAAGTCGATTTTGTATTATTTTTTTATATAATATGATCAACATTCTGGAGGGGATTATATATTATATATATATATATTATTATATAGTGACGTCTTATAACAAATTTGAATATGTGTTCGTACATCTATAAATGTTTCGGGAGAGCCCGTTTACTGAAAGTTCAAAATATGCCACCTTTTTATAAAAAAATCAAAGGAACGTATATATTTGTACGAACTACAATGAACACCATAGATATATTTACAAATAACATTTGTAGTCAAGTTAGAACAACTTAAAGACACGAAATCTGCGGATGACGTCATAACGACAACCGATCCATTCAGGATGTGGGAAGCACAATTCGATAAGAAGTATCACTTGCAAGACGTTCTGTTGGAAACTACTTTATCTGACAATACTTTCACTAATAAGAGACGGAAATGATTCAATCGCCAATCAACTTTTTCGTAAATGCGCTAAAATTAAAAATGGAAATTCTAAACATCGTCAATACAATTTAAAATAGCAAATTAATTATTGTTTCCGACTTTTTAATCGCATTTTTTCATTTTGCATAATACTCCCCTACAAAAAACATCAAATATACAATATTTTCTCAGCAAACATCACATAAGAGTTTTCTGTCCAGTTTTATACCGAGAATCGACCATATGAGTTCCTTTGATGGAAAGCACAAATTTAATGTTATGCCTGAACGAGTAACTATCGTGTTATTGTGAGATATACTTTTCGTCTAATATTTTCCGTTAGTAGCATTAATAATAATTGTTTGCTGGGGTAGATACTTTTGATTAACGTTTTGCTACCTGGTATAGGCGGCAAAATGTAAGAGTAAACTTAAAATTTTAAATTAAAGTAGGTACAGTTGTACTGTTCTAATAAATTTTCAACAAACGACACATGACGGACGACAAACTGATAGAAACAATAGGCAGCTGAAAAATCGAAAAGTACACTTATTCCACGAGTTTCATTAAGAAAATATAAAACTGAATATTCATCAGTTCACCACAATGATTCTATTGCAATACTATACTATCAGAGAATGGACGGCATCTAAATTGTTCTTTTATATAGGATATATCAGAAAATGTGAAGTACAACATATACAATTACAAGTACAACTCATTAATAACCACATAAACTTCCGAAAGTTCAATTTTCACTAAAAAATGAAGATGATAAAATAACAATAAATTTCTTTTCACGTCCCTCTAAATTACAACATTCTTAAAATTAATTAACTTAAAATGTGTATAAGTGATCGTGTTTCATTATGGCTTCAAAATCCAATTTTATTTTTAACTTTGATTGTACAAATTATGTAATTTAAAAAAACAATGTATGTTACTACAATCTTCTTCAAAATTGTAATTAACAGTCACAATAATTTAGGACTTAAAACAATAAATTAAATTATAAATTTTTATTATTTGTGTGGTATGAACGTCGTGGATATGCGTGAATTTGAAGAAAAAACTAACCCTTTTTTGTACCATACAGTCAGCCACCTGAAGGTTAATTGCTCAAACACGAGGTTCAGGTGAATCACTGCATTGGCGGTTTACCCCCTTATCGTGTTGAGTTCACTGTATGGTGATCAGTAACATATCAAAATAGTTAAATATGATTAATTACCTTCTGATCCAAGACTCGTCAACATAACGCCGGGTTGTTTTAGATAGTGAAGTGCTGAAAAACTCCCAGCTCCTAACATATGTGGTGGAACAGGAGGGGGAGCTGCAGGTGGTGGCGCTCTAGCGTATTGTTGATACGCTTGCTGCTGTTGGAGATCGGTAGGAAAACACTGCGACGCTGGTCTAGGTTCTAGATCCATTGTGGGTTGGTCAGGTTGTATTTCGTCTTCACGAGGTTCTGCCTGAGTGGCTGGATAGGGAGAAGGAGCTGGGGAAGGTAAACTTTGGTCTCTGGGAGGAACGGCGTCTGCTTCGACTCCAAGCGGCACAGTGGGGCCACAGGCTTGTTGGGGGCTGCCGGCGCCTCCACCGGTGGAAGTGCTTTGCTGTGGTGGCGGATATGCGTCTTGAGCACCCCACTGACTCCTAGTTTGATCCATTCCATCTTTGTATAAAACGTAAGGAGCGGCAGTATCTGAAATAAAATAATACATAAATAATAAATACTTTTCGAAAGCGACTGGTTACACAGCAATAACATAAGTGTTCGAGGTCAAGTTTTATATGAATTCGCAAAATTAAGGAGTAAAAATTTTGCGGGAAAATTTACTTTGCTGGATACCAACCAGTATAGACTTTTTTGTCCCCTGTTCAAGACTGCGACTAGAGAACTTAAGTTGATTCTTTAGACTTGCCTGTCAAGAAAGACAGAATGAAATAGGTTCACGTAAGTTCACTCTCCAAAAGAATATTACAACTAACCACCTCCTGTGAAAGTGACGGCAACGTTTATGTAGTATACAGGAGAAATATGAAATGATTTGTGTTACGACGGTCTGCAGCAAATATAACAAAAATAGTGGTTCCACGATAATTTCAAAGTCCACGAATAAGCTAAATAAACAGTTTGTTCCGGTGGGTTATTGACAAAGGCTTGAAGGATAACACCCCAACATACTCGACAATAATAATTCTTTTGAAGCATTAAGGTTTACACTCAGTCTTATAAGAAAAAATGATTTTATTCCTTTCGATTGTCCATAGTGTACCGGGTGCTACTTGATACACGTAAATTTAAATACACCGTGTTACTTTCACATAAATTTATAATAAAGGGAAAAGTTATAGAGCATTCATAACCAAAACCATTTGTAGGTATATTTGATTGTACCTTTACTTAGTTCTTAAATAATTCAAGACTACAATTAAAAAAAACACATGAAATTCGTCATTCTAATAGTCACATGAAATAACATTGAAATTATTTTTAGGTTTGTTACTTATCATTAGACCACAAATCTATTTGGGTAAAAATTGATTAGAATGCAATTAAGGTCCAAATATAAATTATAGGGATTTTTCAATTTGGATGAATATATGAAATAAAAGTATATATATAAAAAACAACCGCATGAGATGCTCAAATAGTTTTCCGTGGACTGCCAAACAAAAACCTATCACAGTTTTTTTGTGTGGACTAACTGTTGACAGGTTATCTGATTTGTTTTTTAACGTATGCAGGGTTATTAAGAAGAAGCTCTAAACATAAAAAAAATGGTCTAAAGAGTTTATACAGTACTTCCCTCGCTGTCGGAAACGTGACGACTGCATGCCTATTATGTTTTTTTTTTCACAGTAGATTTCAAAGCATTCGGTTTTGTAGTTCCTGAGTAATAAATAAATGAATAAATTCACGCATTCATTAATTTTTTTGAGCCACCCTGTATATGCAAATCCAAAAAATATGAATGGAATGATAAATTACAAGTACAGACTCGTCATATTTTGTACATTTTAGATAGGATTAATTCGGTAAACTTTTGAGCTGACGTCATCAATTTTTTGGAGGGGATAAACAATTATATATTGAGTAAAAATTTATTATGCTCTTTATAACCTTAAAACATCTGGAAGATTTCAAGGCATTCAGTTTAGCAGATTCAAAATTAAGTTGCAAAACTCAATTCGGAGTCATAAACTACATGTGTAGGACTATGTTATTTTATACAGTTTAAAACCTATTTACTATGTACAATTTTGAAGTGACGTCATCGCATTAGTGGTGGGGATGATTAGAAACAGTTAGGTTAGCGGTTTACCATCTACATGATATTCCTAATATAAATACAAAATTTGACAACAATCGCCCCAGTACTATGGCAGATTATCTGTCTAGCAAAAATCCGTGACGGTAGACAGACGGACAGACAGACGGAAACGGGACACCTATTTCTCCGTCCTGTAGGGGTAATGAAAGGTCGAGAAAACGTAAAAGTAGAGAGTCGGCCGACGGACTCGATTACAATACTTCTTTTGCTTACGCTCTGGAAGTAAAAAGATGAAACGTTTTTTGGAAAAATGTTCTGTTCCTTTTGTAGCGATCCTTTATGAAATAGCAGCTTTGAAAAATATGCATTTATTTGTATATTTGAGGGAAAACAGGTATAAGCTGCTGGGATCATACGTGAAAACCGTTTGGCAAAAAACACTGTCCTTTAGCAAACAAAAAAGATATGTCCAAACGGGCAAACGAGACTACAACTGTATAATTGGACGACAAAGTTTTTATTTCACATCACAATACTCAGGCAGGCTGTTAGCTATCATATCGCCTCACCTAATATAGCGGCAGATTTTAGTTATACACTCACAGACTAAAACTTTACATTAACTGAAGATTTAATTCCAAATGACGGTGACAAGCATTACCAGTTTTTTGTTCACAATAATGTACTATTTCTTTTTAATTATACGTCATCTGTTCATTTTGTTATGGTGGTATATTGTGCAATTTACTTTACTCCTCTTTTGTTGAATAAAATCAATCCATTATTCTTCTCCAATAGGAATGAAATCCATTGCATAACATTTTAACTGCAATATTGTCGTAAAATAATACGGTTGACTAAAACACATTAAAAATCAATCCATCAGCAACAAACCATTGATCAATAGGCGAGTAATAAGATGTAAGAATAAATATGAACGTTTATTATAAAAATTTAAATGTGCATTAAAACACCATTATCTTTCAATTTTCCACGATTCCCTGTGTTTTAGAAAACAGAACACAAACAGCTCGTGTAAGTGTAGCGTTAAATATAGATGGTTGCTGTAGCTTAATGATTTCCTACTAGTTGATTAATTGTAATTTAATGGAAGTATTAAGGCATTTTAAACTGAATTCATTTCACCATATTGTTAAAAGTAAATACATATTTCAGTAAAAATTAAGCTACTAAAAAAAAGTAAATAATAAATAATTCAACACATAAATATTTTTTAATTTCATCGACACGGCACATAAAATACAAAAATAACACATATTTATTGTAATTAAAGAAAGTAATAAAATAAGATAATAAAATTATTTAATAAAGCAGCATTACCTGAGTTGTTTATCTATTGACAAGCACCAACTTTTAAGACGCAGAAAATGAAAATTTTTACCCTTGCTCACCCTTTTTGTATAGCATACCTACATATTCGATTTTTTTTATAATTCATTTTTTGTTCAAATGGCAGAAACACGGGATATTGCATACTTCGGTTGGTAAATATCAAGTCCCATTTTACTGTCTTGCCAAAAAAAATAATATATCTAGGTTGCACAAGTTTTTTGCTACCGCCGAAACAAACAATGAAATTTAAGCCTAAATTAAGCAATCACCATGCATATATTTTTTGCCAAAATTAAAAAAAAACACCACTTGTTGATTTCAGTTGCTAACAGAAAAAAAACTCCAATGGTGATTTTCATATTATACCGTTGAAAGTGCAACAAACGTCAAAGTTGTCATCAAGAAACACGTACACACAAACAAATTAAGTCAATTATATTATGTCAAACTTCAGATTTAATACCAAGATGTTGTCAGTTGTATTTTCAAAGTAGAATGTAGTATGTATTGGTGTTTTTTTTTTTTATAAAATACTATAGTCTGATAATAATTAAGATACTTTATAATTCGGTGAATACCTTAAAAGTTGTGGCAGTGATTTTTGAGACTTATCATTTCTCAAGCGACCGACGGTTGAGAAACCCTGGAATCTGTCAATTTTTGGGACAGTTTATGACTTAAGCGAACGGAGTTCTGAAGTAGACTATAGAAGCGGTTTGGCGGAAGTCTCGATGCCGGACTCCAGAACAACCTCGAAGGCGGCAATCGCGAACTCCCCACACGAATGCACGGTGGTTTAAATGCGACCACCGTTGAGAACGGGCAGTCAGTGAATGATATAATCATTAAAATCTAGTCAAATCCGTTCCAATCGATTAATGAGTACGAGTTAAGTTGACTCGGAATTATTCTCTACATAATCGCTGTAAATTAGTATTACTGAGAATTACATTGATGAGTTTTACCCACGCCGATTTTAATTACCGATCATTGTAGCACCATTATATCATACGATCAATATAACTTCTGATTCTAGTGTGTGCTAAAGACAAAAGAAATCGATCATATATTAGTTGATAAGATTACAGGAACTGTAGATTCTAAATAAGTGTTATGAGCCTGTCACAAGAAAAATTTTGACATCGTTAGGACATTTAACGTAAAAGTATTAACGCTCCTCTTGTTTTTGTTGTACATGGCTGATTTGCCAATCCAGTTGTCCTCTACCATTTCAATGTTGCTGACGATATTAAATTATATGCCAACTCGCTTACTTACTAATTATGACCATCTTACAAAAGATCTAGAGACTCTAAATTCATGGTGTTCCGATTGGCTGTTACCTTTAAATTCGGACAAATGTACCATTCTCCACCTGGGTAAGTTACAACACTGCGGGAGTACCTTTAACTGTAGTGAAATGATTTAGGTATTATTATTTCTTCCGACCTCAAATATGAACAACATACGTGTCGTTTCGATAACAAAAAAATACTAATTCTATGTTGTTTCTAATTAGTCGCTCCTTTTGTAATCCTACTCCCTCCACCACTGCTAAACTGCTTCGGATGTACGTTAGGCCACTATTAGAGTTTGTCGCTCCAGCTTGATCGCCTTATTTTGCCAAGGACATTAGCACTTTGGAACGAGTCCAGCGAAGGGCCACTAAGATGGCTCCTGTTATTAGGCACAGACCGTATGAGGTACGGTCGTACAGACGGCGAATACGTGGAGACCTTATTCTCACCTATCGAGCTTTTAGGGATCTGGAGATTATCAACTTCTTCAACTAAATAGTGACACATAAGACTTCGAAGGCATCCTTGGAAATCTACCGTATTCTTCCTTGACAACACTTTTGGTCTTGTCGGGTTTGTAACGACCGGAATATGCCTTATCGCAGAACGACGTGGAGTCGCCTAGCGTCAATTCGTTTAAAAACCATCTCGATTCTTTTCTCGCGGAATAGTTTTCTTAGTTATAGTACTGGTCTTATAATTTTTTTATTTTTTATTTATTGTGTAGCAGGCAGTTGCGAACCCAATGCACCCACCCGGGTCCTCTATGTATATAA